GCAAAGAACTCTTAAAACTCAACAATAAGAGAACAAACAACCTAGTTTTAAAAAGGGCCAAAGACCTTAACAGACACCTCACCAAAGAAGATATACAGATGGCAAATAAGCATATGAAAAGATGCTCCACATCATATGTCATCAGGGAAATTCAAATTAAAACGAGATACCACTACACACCCATTAGAATGGCCAAAATCCAGAACACTAACAGCACCAAATGTGGAGCAACAGGAACTCGCATTCATTGCTTGTGGGAATGCAAAATGGTATAGCCACTTTGGAAGAAAATTTGGTGATTTCTTACAAAACTAGGCATACTCGTACCATACAATCCAGCAATCGGGCTCCTTGATATATACTCAAAGGATCTGAAAACTTATGTCCACACAAAAACCTGCACACAGATGTTTATAGCAGCTTTATTCATAAATGCCAAAACTTGAGAGCAACTGAGATGTCCTTCAGCAGGTGAATAGACAAATAAACTGTGGAACATCCAGACAATGGAATATTATTCAGTGCTAGAAAGAAATGAGCTATCAAGTCATGAAAAGACATGGAGGAACCTTAAATGCATTTTACTAAGTGAAAGAAGCCAATTCTGAAAAGGCTGCCTATAGTATGATTCCAACTATATGACATTCTGGAAAAGGCAAAACTACAGAGATTATAAAAAGATTATTGGTTGCCAGGGGTTGGGGGAGTGGAGGAGGGATGAATAGGAGGAGCACAGAGAATTTTTAGGGTAGTGAAAATACTCTGTATGATAGTATAATGGTGGATACATGTCATTATACGGATTTGACCAAACCCATAGACTGTGCAACACCAAGAGAGAACCCTAAGGTCAACTATGGACTTTGACTGATTGTGGTATGTCAGTGTAGATTCATTCATTGTAACAAATGTACTACTCTGGTGGGAGTTGTTGATAGTGGGGGGGGGGGCTATGCATATGTGGGGGCAGGGGGAATATGGGAAATCTCTGTACCTTGCTTTCAACTTTGCTGTGAACCTAAAACTGCTCTAAAAAAATTGTGTTAAAAGAAACATACAATAGAGTTCATAATAACAGAGCGGGATTTGCTGGCTTTGTGAAGCTCCCTGTTGTGTGTAGCTTTGTTGGAGTGGGAAGGGAAAATCTAGAAGACTGTGGTTCTGGCAAACAGTGCATGCTCCTGGTGCCTAGGCAATCGTGGAGGAGGAAGGGCCTGGAAAGGGGGAACAGAGCAGCAGTGGCCGCTGTAAGGATACCAAAGCCAGGATCCTGCCTGAGGTTGGGATCCAGGACAAAGCCAAACGGAGCAGATGTGGGGTCTTTCTGGTTTTGGGTCCTGATTGAGGCTGAGGAGGAGGAAGGGAAGAGATCATCGCTCTTTCTTATTGACATTCTACTCTCCCCTAAAACGAACTGAAATGGAGAAAAAATGAATAGGTTGGAGAAAATAGAAAGTTAGTTAGGAAAGAAGCTGTATGAAGTTACCATAGGAGTTTTGTCTCTGCATTCCTCCTTTGCATCCTCTCCTCTGACCTGCCTGGAAGGATGCTAAGTCATCAGAATGCTCAGGCAGAAGGATTCATTAGGCTTCCTCATAGTCTTAGCACATTTGATCAGATGGGTCAAGTTTGTAATTCTTTAATTTGGAAAACAGTATTGTCTTGATTCAAGCTAATAGTGTGATAATAAAATTTCATATGATCTTGGATGATATAAAGCTGATTTGAAGTTATTTTCTCAACTAGAATATTTACAGTAGAATAATTTCTGCCAAAAACATAAGAAACCATAAATACCTATGTTGTCTACATATGTTAGAAATTCATAGCAACTGCTGAAATTCATCGTTAAAAACAATGTAAAGTACTCTTCCGTCACAGGTGGAACCTCCAAATAGGTGCTTCTTTTCAACTGGCTTGAAATGTGCTTTTTTTAGAGCTTAGCTGTGTATGTTATACTCATATATAAGTACCTCCCATTGCTTTTCACTGTTTTTCAAAGTTCTAATATTTTTCTTTTTTGCCATTATCTTTAGTTATTTATTGTTTATGTAATTTAACCAATTCTTCTACTAACTAGAAAAAATGTTTTATTTTAAATGGAAATGGCTATTTTTTTTTATCATTTTAAAAGTAGTACATGTCCAGCTAAAATAAAGTTAGAAAATTAGTTAAATTTTAGTTAAATAAAATAAAACTAGACTTAGAAAATTAGTTAAAATTAGAAAAGTCAGAAGACTATAAGCTTAAACAAATTCTCTCTGTAATCTTACTCTCCAGAAATCATTGCTGTTATTTTTTTATTGTATATCCATCTAGGCATTTTTCTATGCATAAAAGCACAGTTTCTAAAAACATAAAAATGAACTCTTACTATACATTCTGGCTTATAGTGTTCTTTTTTTTCACTTTACGTTGAATCATGGACATTTTTGTATGTTCATAAATATAGATTACATTGTTACTTTTTTGTGTGTGAGGAAGATCAGCCCTGTGCTAACATCTGCCAATCTTCCTCTTTTTTTGCTGAGGAAGACTGGCCCTGGGCTAACATCCATGCCCATCTTCCT